CTTTTTCCCTTGAGAGAGAGAGAACCCTAGATGTGTGACCTATTTACTGCTATTTGGGCCTTTTGTGGAGAGGCCCGATATAAGTAGGAGAACTGTGTTATCTGTTGAGCGCCCTTTCGACGGGCTAGAAGAATTTGTAGAGGTTTGCAAGAGGTATGGAGAGCAGGATTGGATCGGAGCAAGAAGAAAGCCTGGACATAAGTGATCTCTACCCATTTTTTTTGTACAGTAATTCTAGAGATCCCTTAGTATGGAGGGATCCAGGGATCCAAAAAGGGGCCATCTGCTTTGGTTGTCTAAGGGATAAGTGGGCCAGGTCTGGGTGCTATATTTGATCCAAAAGGCATTGTAGGGGAAAGTCGACTGGCAGAGAGGACACATTACCCATGTAAGAAGGAGGGAAGAAGACGCAGAGGAGGAGGAAACTGATTTTTTGGCAAAAGGGGCGTCCCCGCTAGAGCCAAAAAATCAAGAGTGCCTAAGTGGCAGGTGCCTAAGAGTGCCTAAGCTGCAGAGATTGGTCGTCACCGAATCCTGACAGTCGAAGCTCTTGTCCTGGACAGAGCCAGAACCGTGGGAGACCTTGCCCAAGGCTTTTTGGGACCCCTCCTGGAGAGGCCGGATACTCCCATGGCTAGAAAGAGGGGGAGAGGCAGGGCATGCAGAGAGAAAGGGGAAGGTAAGCATCTCTCTAGGGCCGAAGGTGAGAGGACTAGGACTTTAGGAATCTGCCCAAGGAAGGAGTCCCTGAGGGCTACCGTAGCCTTAAAGGCTGTGGTGGGGTGCTTTCCTCCCTGCAGGTGGGCAAGGAGATTTGCCAGATGATATTAATCCCTGAGGGCCACTGTAGCCTTCAACATATTGTAAGAGGGTGGATTCGGGGCACTGGGGGTGAAAAGATTGAAGGTTGGAGGCCAAGGTTTGTCCAAAGAGGTGTGGACTATCTCAAAATCCCTGAGGAAGGACAGTCTAGGTTAAAGGCAAAAAGATATCCTTTAAGTCTGTGACCAAGAAGTGGGTGGCAGTGTGGGGCATCTGAGACAGCAGGATGTATGGGTTGGGAACCAAAGGGTGTATGTGCCTAATGGAGGTGTTGATGAGTTGTAGGTCCTGTAGGACCCGTTGGGCTTTTTTACCGCTAGCATCTGGGTTGGCACCACAGTTTAGCTATTGTGAATTGTGCTTCTATAAACATTGTTGTGGCTGTGTCCCTGTAGTATTCTGTATGCTGTCACTTCTTCTTACTATACTCTCCTAAGGTGTTATTTTATTTTTTAAAAATATTTTTAGTTATAGATGGACATAACACCTTTATTTTACTTATTTATTTTTATGTGGTGCTGAGGATTGAACCCAGTGCCTCACACATGCTAGGCAAACGCTCTACCACTAAGCTACAGCCCCAGCCCATGATTTTCTATTTGACGTAATACTCTATATTTTAGGAAATATCATTAATGTTTTCTTCTAATCCTATCAAAGGATAAAATTACAACAATTTAGTTTAATGTTCTTAATTGGATTTATTTTCGATTCTAGAATCGAGCAATACTTTGTTGCAAGAAACAGAATGTGGTGTTCCTATAAACTGAGCAGAGGAGCTTGATTTTAGAGACAGAAAAGGACTGAAGAAAACAGAAACAGGACTGGGGTTGTGGTTCAGTGGTAGATCAGACATTTGCCTAGCATGTGTGAGGCACTGGGTTCGATCCTCAGCATCACATAAAAATAAGTAAATAAAATAAATGCCTATTAACAACTAAAAAATATGAAAAAAAAATAAAAGAAAGCAGAAACAAAAAAACAAAGAGCTAATTATTATTTCAAAGTTACTTTTCCTGTAAGGCTCAGACTGGGAGACAGAATAATGAAAAAATAACTGATGAATCAACATCAGGTAACCTAGAGTAAAAACTTAGGTTACCTTTCCTGTGAAAGGATTAAGGCAGAGAAAACTTATGATCACACTACTTGAAACTACTTTGATTGGGAAATTTGACTGTTATCTCTCTAATCCTGATTTCTTGGAAGGTCAGATAAAAGCTTAGTATCAGGTTGCTGATGGAGTTTCAGCATGAGTGACTATTTTTAGCCTGATTGTTGGTTGGGGTCTAGTATAGAGCTTAGACCAAAACAGTGGCCTCCTGTAAGTTTTATTTAACACCACTCTGTTGAGTTTTTCATTTATGCTGTCATGTTTTTAGTTTTCAGTCCTTTGTCTCCCCGCTCTGACATTGTTCTTATTTCAAGGTGTAATATTCTGTTTTGTTGTTTGATTATCATAGTTAAGAATGGAGGATTTAAAAACTGAAATCTCTGTTTAGAGCTATGTCTGATTGATAGTACTGGGTACTATGGCTGGGGCATTTTCTTGGACTATGTCCTTTTTGAAGGGCTACTTAGATACCTCAAAGAAGATTTATCCAATCTTCTGCCTAAAGAGTATAAATCTGATACTGTTTAAGGGAACCAGTAAAGTAGTATGTCAGGAGGACTCAATTGTCAGTGTAAAATTTCACTTACTTACTTTCCCTCATTAACCTTTTTAAACCATAGTACCTTTGCCTTTAATTCTTCCTTGTGCTCTATGATCCAGAGACCCAGTTTTACTCTGTCCCAATAGAAACATCCAGTTTTTCACAATAGTGGGGTCTGGGCATTCATTGCCTTTCTACATTGAATTAGAGAAAGGACATGAAATTCTAATGCTTTTTAAAAATTCTGTATTTAAAAAAAATATTCTGTATTTTTGAAAATAAATTTTACTGTGTTTATTTAAGGTACACGTCTGATGTTAATGATATAGATATATTCGTATTTAGTAAAAAGGGTACTCTAGCGAAATAAATTGACATATCCATTCTCTCATATAGTTACCTGTCCCCCACCCCCACCCAGGTATGAGCAGTTATAATTACTCATTTAATAAAAAATTTAAAGACACTACAATGTTATAATTTACTGTATTTTAACTGCTTCTAAATAGACTTTCAAATAAGCCTGTGGGGGTGTTTTTTGTTTGTTTTGTTCTTACTTTCAAGGTCTCTGGTACTGCTAATTACTCAAGCCTTTTGGGGTTCTGTGATTAAGTTGCTTTACTTCTGGGGTTAAAAATTCTATCTTCTTGGGTCAAGTAGGTCAATATCACTTGTCCACCAGCTTTCTATCTTCCCACCCAATTTTTGTGGCAGTAGACTTTTCTGTGTGTGTGTGTGTGTGTGTGTGTGTTTTAATCTGTGTGAATTTAGGCTGTAATCTTTTTTCTCATCCTTTGGAGTTTCAAAATAGCAACCTTGCATTGAAATAACAATATAAATATTACTTAATGTATAATTACTAAAGTCATTTAAAATCTCTTTCTGGGTTTCTTTGTTCTAGGATAATCCATTAGAGATACACAAATTACTTAGTTTAAAGTCATTTGAAATAATTTCCTGCTGTTGATTAAGCTACCAAGTTGATCTGTGGTTAGATTCCTTTGCTTCATTTTATTTGTTTCTTGCAGTCCTGAGGATTGAACCTAGGGCCTAACATATACTAGATAAACACAGTATCACGAGGAGCCACATCCCCCATCCTTTCTTGTTTTGGAACAGGGCTTTGTTCTGTTTCCCAGGCTGGCCTTAAACTTGGGACAACAAGTGTGTGCCACTGTGCCAGGCTTCATTTTACTTTTGATTTCTAGGGATTGTTTTTTTTTTTTTTAAATTTAATTTTGTTTTATAATCATATGTGCCTCCAAACTCAAAGCTACAAAACAAGGGGAACCTAGCTTCTAGGCTTGCCTCTTCTTCCCTTTTTCTTCCTTTCTAATTATAGGAATTATTTAATATCTTTAATATAGACTCTTCTTTTATCCTACTACTTCTTGTTCCCTTGCCCTGATTTATTTTCCTTTATATTTCCAATCACTACCTGACATTATTAGGTTCTTTCACTTCTAGAATATACCCTTGTTGAGAATAGGGACCTGAGATGTGACAAATAAACATCTGTCTCACTTCCTATGTAGGGTTATTCAAAAGAATATTTGTGATTCTTCCTTCTTTTGAGTATAGGTTAGCAACACGGTTTATTTGTAAACATCTATTATTTGATCAACACTTCTGTTGCATATCACATAAAATGACATAGAGCAGTGTGTTAGGGAATATAACAGTGGCAGGGAATGAAGGGTCCCTGAGTTCTGAGCTGTGCAGTACTCCCACATTCAGAGGAAATGTAAGAGTAGACTAAGATGGCCTGTGGCATGTGCTACTGTGTCCAGGAGTCCTCAACTTCCATAGTATATTCAAAAGAGTTATTCAAGAGGATGGGGTAGTTTAACATTAGATTGAGATAGATTGAGATACACTTTGTTATATGATAATTTCCGGTATAGTGTGATGTATGTGTTCTTTGCAGAATGGTACAATAAAAACCACAGAGCAAGCCTGATGTGGTGGAGCATGCCTGTAGCCCCAGCTACTTGGAGGGCTAAGGTGGGAGGATCGCTTGAGCTCCCTGAGTTAGAGACTAGCCTGGGCAACATAATGAGACCCCTATCTCAGCAACAAAGCCAGCCCCCCCCCCGCCCCCCGCAGTATTACACAAACCTAGTGAAGGTTTCAAAAAACACAGAGCTTATGGGCTAGCTAAATGGTAACACTCAAAACTTGTCAGTGACCTATGGAAAGGAATCTAATTAAAAATAAAAGCACAATTTCTACACATGTTGGATGATGAAGAAATACTTAAATACTGCAACAGATACGGCAGTTTACCTTGGAAAAGACAATAAGTTTGCTGGTAGAACTGGCATGGAAAGGTCAATATCCTGTATATTCAGATGGGTGCAATTTTCTGTGTTCACCTATTATTTTCATTGGTGGAATTGAAACATAAATGGATCATTCATGTTGTACTTCGAATGTTTCATAATAATCATGTTGGAACAAATTTGCATTTTTTCAAAGCATGGGATATAACAGAACTGATTGTAGTTTTCTCTTTCTTCTTAGATGACATGCCAATGGGAACTACTGGCAGACGTGCTTCAAATGAGTTCTTGGTGTGTGGAGGGTATGTTTGCTTGTATTTTATTAAAAGTTTTGTATTTTGTTATTTTTGCAAGTTTATAGAACTTTTGGTATTTGATTTAATTTAATTTTGTTTCAAAATTTATCACTTTGAAAAAAATGATGTGATAACCAACACACAAAATCTACGCTATTCACCATTTTAAGGTTACAGTTCAGTAATGTTAAATATATATATTGTGCATCCAGTCTTTTGGATTTTATCATCTCATAAAACTAAAACTTGATTCTTACTAAATGATACAACATCTCCCCATTTCTCCCTACCCTCTGTTTATGTGAATTTGAGTAATTTAGATAACTCATGTAAGTGAAATCATACAAGTATTTGTCTTTTTGTGACTGGCTTATTTCACTTAAGGTGCTGTCCTCAAGATTCATTCATGTTGTAGCATGTGACAGATTTCTTTTATAAGGCTGAAAAATATTGCATTATAAAAGACACTTTGTTTATCCATTCACCCATTGATAGACATGTGGGTTGCTTCTACTTCTTGATTATTATGAATAATGCTGCTGAATGAATGTATAAATATCTCTTCAAGATCCTGTTTTCAGTTTTTTTTTTTTTTTTGGTATTGGGAAGTGCTTTACCACTGAACCAAATCCCCAGCCCTTTTAATTTTTCTTTTGAGACAGGATCTCACTAAGTTCCACAATTTTCATTTGGTTGTTTTTAATAGTTTATTTTTTCTCTTTTTGATTTTCTCATTTTGTTTCAAGCTTCATTTTCCTGATTTCATTTGTTATCTGCCTGTTTTCTTTTTTTGTTCATTGAGTAACTTCATGATTATTACTTTAAATTTTTTCTTGGGCTCTTCATAGATATATTTAAGAAAATTGGATTGATTTCTGGACCTTTATCTGTTCCTTGGTTGAATCATGTTTCTGTGTGTTTTTTTTTTTTTTTTTTTATGCTTTGTGATCTTTTGTTGAAAATTGGGTTGAAGACAGTCTCCTCTCTTAATATTTATGAACTTGCATTATAAAGGGAAAGATATTTATCAATTAGCCTGGCTAGAGATTCTAAGACCACAGACCTTTTCTGGGGTATGTTTTCTGTGGGGTTGTGCATGTGTTTTTATCCTAGCATTCTTTTCTCCTCTCCTCTCCTGTCCTTTTCTTGCAGTGCTGGGGATTGAACCCAGAGCCTTGTGCATGCTAGACAAGTACTCTAGTACTGAGCTACAGTCTCAGTCCTTATACATGTTGTTTCTGATTGTTTTAATTTCCTGTTTTTTTCTTAGGGTGTTTTGGTTTCATGTGTGTTATATTCCTCTGCTTTTAATCTCTTGCTCCTTTGTGCCTGCTTTCAGAACTACAGTCTCTGCTGCTCTAATGTACTCTGGAGTTTGCCTCTGCTTTCACTGGCCTCCCATCTGGTAATCAAATTGTGTCACCTTTTCCATTTATACTCTGAGCCAGGCAAGATAGAAACCAGTTCCTCACACAGACCCTCATATAAGCCGTAATGCTAGGTGCAAGTTCTTAAGAACTCAGGAAGAGCTAGGAGTTGGGTTAATAATCTCCTGATCCTGCCTAAACATGCCTGAGGTAGGAGGAATTAGGGCAAACAAAATGTGAACTTTCTTATCCTTCTCCTTACCATCTCCTCTTGTTTATGCGCTCAACTGGGTGTTGCTATCCCAAAACTAGTTTCTAAAGTTTCCCCCAAAATGCTTTATTATACATATTGCTATTCATTGTCTCCATGGAGAAATGAGGAACCTGTAGGTTCCTAGTCCTCCATCTTATTGGCATCATGTGTTATCATTCTTTTCAAAATGTGATATTTTAAGCAAAGTATGGAGAAAAGTAGAGTATGAAGAATGATATATATTTAATCTGTAGCTAGGTGTGGTGGCCCAAACTTGGAATCCTAGTGACTTGGGAGGCCAAGGCAGGAGGATTGCAAATTCAAGGCCAGTCTAAGAAATTTAGTGAGACCCTGCCTCAAAATAAAAAAATAAAAAGAACTGATGTAGTTCAGTGGTGGAGTCCCAATGCATTAAATTCCCAGTACTCCTCACTATTCTCCACAATGTTACCTATATAGTCACCCCTCAATTCTCTTCTGACTTAAAATTTTGCCTTTAAACAGCTAAGAGAGGTAAAAATATCTTAAGGTCAGTCAAAACAAGGGGTTTATGTTATCTATAAATAGTATATAGTACCTTTGCATGTTTTTTATTAGTGGCATAATATATGTTTTATTTTCAAACACTTTTTTCATGCAACAAGGAAGTGTTAAAAGGTTGAACTGAGGTTTTAAATGACCTGGGCCACAGTGGTGAAGTCAGTAACAGAAATTAGACAAGAGAGATGTGAATATAGTAAGATAAAGGATTTCTTAGCTTTTAAAAGAGTGGGAATGGAGGGCTTTGATACCAAAGAGATGATGTTTGTTAGGTTATTGCTATGATATTGACCCCAAAACTTCATTGGCTTGCAACAAGAACTTATTTTTTATTTATATTACTTCCAACTGTGGATCAGCTGTAACTTTGCTTCATTTACCTTCTTTCTGGCTTGCTGGTTGGAAGATCAGCTCCTATTTGGGACATGCTGAGGAAATAAGAGTGAAGGCAGAACTTCAGTGGCCCTGAAAGCTTCTGTCCTGCCATTCATTACTCTCTCACCCTCCACTCTGAGGACAGCGTGTCTCAAATGGGAACTGCTTTTCAACCTCTTTTCCAGAGAATTGTGGCAGGGTGGGAGGTAAATAATGGAATGTAGAAATGGGTCCAGAGAGAGGTTATGAATACTTTGAAAAATATTAATAATGCATTCTTTCATAACATGTTAAATATAATTAAAAACAGAAGTAGAAAGGGAGTATTAAAAGTTATGCTGCATACAAGATTAAAATAGTCAATACAGGTGAAAAACATATTTTTCTTGAAACCATTAAGATTTTATATCCATATCTCAGTGGTTCGGATTGCCTGACAATCCCTGTAATTTTAGTAGTGGTATGTGCTAAGATATCTCTCATTGTGACAAAATACCAAGAAAGTCAGTTTAAAGGAAGAAAAGTGTATTTTAGCTTATGATTTCAGTGCATAGTTGCTTTGCTTTGTTGTTTTTGGGCCATTGGTAAAACAGAGCTTTGTGGCACAGAGGGAGTGGTAGAGCAAAGCAGCTTACCTCATGGCAATGAGGAAGGCGATTGAAGGAGAGAGGGAGGGGAAGGGCTAGGGACAAAATACACCTTTCAAAGACATGTCCTAGTGACCCATCTCCTCCAGCTAGCTCCACATCCTCAAACTTCCACCACTTCCCAGTGGCCACCAAGCTTTAATACACGAGTTTTTGGGAGAAATTTCAGATTTAAATCATAGCATGGTATATTTAATTCTTCTCCTAGAGCCTAGCTTGTTGAAATTTCTTGGAAATACTTTGTTGAAATGAATGATTTTTGTCTAAGAGTGAGAAAAATTCCTAGAAACAGTAGTTCCAGTCTTTTTTTTTTGGTAAAGTGGATTGAACTCGAGGGCACTCAACTGCTGAGCCACATCCCTAGCCCTGTTTTATTTAGAGCAGGGTCTCACTGAGTTGCTTAGTGCTTTACCATTTGCTGAGGCTGGCTTAAAAAAAATTTTTTTTTTTTTGTAGTTGGACTCAATAGCTTTATTTTATTTATTTATTTTTATGTGGTGCTGAGGATTGAACCCAGTGTCTCACACATGCCAGGCAGGTACTCTACCACTGAGCCATAATCCCAGCCCTGAGGTTGGCTTTGAACTCGAAGTCCTCCTGCCTCAGCCTTCCCAGCTGCTAGGATTACAGGTGTGCACCACTGCGCTTGGCAGTAGTTCTAGTCTTACAATATTATTTAGAAAAATATAATTTTAGGATATAGAATTTTGTATTAGGAAAACATAATTCAATATATAGAATTTTACTTCCTAGCATCCATTAGAGAACATAATTGAGGACAAACACGCACATGTTGTATAACTAAAGCCTTCACAAGTCTTTGAAGACCTAAAGTTTTTGGCCCACAGTGTTCTGGCATTATTAGGCACAAAATTAGCCTGCCATTTCAGGAAAGTATTGCTTAGTGCTATAAAATATAATTAGGCAGTGTTGTGAGCAACACTTAAATGGATAGTTATTTCTCTTGGAAATATTAGTAGTAAAATGTTCCACTTAATACCTCCTCCTCTGAGGTTTTCATTTCATCTGTCTTTAAAAAGTGTATAGAATAGAAAGTTGTTCTTGGCGCATATATATATATATATTCTAATTAGGATACATGATAGTAGAATCCATTCTGACACGTTGTACACAAATAGAGCACACCTTCTTCCTCTAGCTATACATGATGCAGAGTCACACCAGCAGTGTAATCATACAAGTATATAGGTAGAATAAGACAGCCATTGTTACCCTATATACATGTACTTGGCATTATTGATGCTTACTCACCTTCATTGGATGCCAGCTGGATGATACATGGCTCCTAGGTCACTCATGAATGCTTACCAGGTAGTCATGAAATCTTGTTACACTGCTTCTAAATAGTATTGATGCTCTGTTTTGGTGAGTTTTTTGGTCACATTACCAAAAAACCTGACAAGAACAACATAGAGGAGGAAAAGTTTATTTGGTGTTTATGTTTTAGAGGTCTCTGTTCATAGATGGCCAACTCCATTGCTCTAGGCTCAAGATGAGGCAGAACATCATGGCAAAAGGGTCTGGCAGAGGAAAGCAGTTCAGAATATGATAACAAGGAGGCAGAGAGAAAGCTCTGGGACAAAATGCGTACCCTAAAAGCATGCCCCCAGTGACCTACCTCCTCCAGCCTCATCCTCTTATGGTTGCTGCTCAGTTAATTCATTCAGATGGATTAATGCCCTGATTTGGTTAAAGTTCTCATAACCCAATCATTGTACCTCTAAATTTTTCCTGTGTTTTCCCATACATGAGCTTTTGTGGGGGACACCTCATATCTAAACCATAACATGCTCTTTACTACTT